AATCCCGTTGTCTCTCTGCCTGCCAGTGCCACTGCCATTGGCACTGCCTCTGCCCCGAGCCCCTACTCCCCTTTTGGGGCAAGACAAACCGGTCAAAATTAACCTACTTAAGAGTGGAACCCAAGCGGCTCTGAGGCAACCAGCTGCCGTCTTTGGGACCCGCTGCCTTTCCTTTAGTCGTCCCCCCACCCCTACCAGCAAAAACAAAACACAAAACACAAAAAAGATTCAGATACAAGAAAAATGCAACTAAAAAAGAATGAAATCAAATCTTGGGTACGTGCCATGTAAAATCAGATGAAGAGTGGCAGCAGGGAGATGGGCATGGGGATTGGGGCCAGCGGATAGCGGAAGAGGGATAGGGATAGGAAGAGGGAGACCGATCAGAAGGAGGGCCCCAGCCTACCGTCAAATGTCACACGCAAATGCATCCAAAGCGGTTAATCGATTAATCGAAGAACAGCTCTAGAGAAATTTAATCGAACAGCAGAATCGAGAAGCTAAATCGAAAAGGTTTACGAAGTAGGCTTTGAGTTTTCCACTGCATTTCCTCGGTTAACCGCAAAAGAAAAACGGAAAAACAAAGCAGCGAAACTCGTAGAAAAATGAAAACTCAACCGCAATCAAAGTCAGCGGAAAACCTTCATCAGCGTCCATTTGGATGGTTAGCCGCATGCAACATCCAGCTGCAGCTGCAGCTAAGGCTAAAGCTAAAGCTAAAGCAACAGCTCCAGCTTCAGCGACTGCCCATTGAGCAAGGTTAATTGATTATCGCCTGGCGTCGCTGGCAATTTGCCTCCTGGCCCCACCATGCCCAGACGGCCCTCGTCCCGCCAGGTTCGCCTACCCTGACGAACTGCGTGTCCCGGTCCATTGTTGGTAACCGCAATGACAAGCGTCACGAGATCAAAGCATAAAAACCAAATTAGAAGCTGGCCATGGGCATGCCGTACTCCACTCCACTTCACTCCACTCTACTCGGATCCCCTCCTCCTGAGGATTCGGCCCCCTTCTTTGGCCCCATACGCTCGTGAGCGTGAGCTGACTGGAGTCGGAGGCCTCAGAGCTGGCTCTGGGTCTATTTATGACCCAGGCCCGGGTCTCCGTCTCCGTCTCCTCCAACCGACCAACCGACTGCAGGCCTCTCCTTGGAGTCGAGAGGCTGCTGATGCTGATGCCGATGTTGTTCGAGTACGAGTATCGTCGTACTTGCCTAACAAGATTTGTGTTCCATTTCGCTGTTGCCGCTGCCGCTGCCGCTGCTGCTGCTGCTGCTGCTGCTGCTGCTGCTGCTGCCGCTTTTGGTAGCACCTCTGGAGAAGCTCGACTCTGGCGAGGCTGCTTTGCTTCGTTTGCTTCGTGTCTGATCAGGTCTGTGACAGCATCAGCAGCAGAAGTAGCAGCCAACACCAAGAACAACCAGAAAGCAGCTTGGAAAATCAAGTGATTACTGTCTCGCATCACGAGTAATGAAACGTGACTCAAATCGCAGTTAAACACCCAAAACCGGAGCCAGCTCCCAGCTCCCAGCTCGCATCGCAGCCCATCTGATCCCATCCCATCCCATCCCATGCCATGCCATGCCACCACACACGCGCGCAAACCCCAAACACCAAACACCAAACGAACGAGGTACAACACGGGGCAACAACAATTAGAACAAGCCAAAACAGCGATACGGACATGCGGCTGGGATGGCGGACAACGAGCAGTGAACATAGAACACAGAACACAGAACAGGGAACAGCGAACAGCGAAGAGCTACGCTACCCAAACGAATCACAAAGGAGATCACATAGAGATGTGGAAAGAGAAGGAGAAGGGAAGAAGCGGTGTGTGGCAAGAGGGGAAGGGGGGAAGGAGGCAGAGGCATCATCAATGTCCCAGTCATGTCAGCCATTTGGGCAATGTCGTCGCTGCTCGAATTTAATGGCCAAAAAAACACGGCAGGACTGAAACAGCAGCAGAACTAGAACTAGAAATGGACAAAGAAGAACACACCGAATCGCTCCTTCCACGCCACACACTCGTACACACCCATTAAAGATCTCCCCCGAGGGACTTTGCGCACCTGGGCAGGAGGCAGGAGGTGGAATCTGTGCTTCAGGTTCAGGTTTAGGTTTAGGTTAGGCCAGGCCAGGATTCTCTTTCGATTGAGGGACTTAGTCAATGCTACTAACCAATCGCTAACCATGCCCATGGCATGTCCTTGCAATTATCTGCAGAAGATGACTCGTAATTGAATTATTCGAATGTGGGTAGAGAGAGGTATCTAAGCATCTAAGAGGGCCGCCTCGCTTCTCCCTCCACTATCGCCCCTATGCATACATCATTCTCTGGGAACTCTGCACAGCTGGCCATATCCATATCCGCTGTATGTGACCATTAAATCTTCTCGAGATTTGCATATGAAGCAGCCCTAACAAGAGGAGATCCTTCTACGATCTTCGGGCGGGATGGGGAATGGGCTTGGGACAGAGGTATAGGCCAAATGCAAATCTCTGCCCATACCCATGGCCATGGCTCGTTCTTGCTCTGCTTACTCAAGCAAAGATGACACCAGAAAAAGCGATCTGCATCTTTGAGCCGGGTGCCAGTGCCAGTGTCAGTGGCCGTGCCCCCCACCCAACCAAGTTACGTGTACGTGTATCTGGATAGAAGAGATCTCTGGGAATGCGACACGACTTGGTGTTTGAAATATTTCACTTTTGGCTAGCGCCCTGCCCACCGCCAAGACAATGGCCAAGGCCTCGGACTGTGTATCCGACTGGGACTCGGAGCTGGACTCTAGACCATGGTCGTTGGGCCGGCTTGGACACTTGGGGTTTCCCTGGCCCTGAGATAATACATGACATTAGACACAACACCAGCCACAGCACCAACAGGAACAGCGAACTCCAGTCGGAGACCTCAAAATGGAAAATTGCCATGCATAACATATTTTTATCCGTTGGATTTTCTTTTCTTTGCTTTTTTGTTTATTGTAAAGACTTGCAAAGTGGTCAAGAGACCATGATTAGCGCGAGATTGGAGGGAAGTGGCGGGGGAAATGCCTGGCATTGGAATTGGTGAGGCCCGAGGAACCCCTAGGACCACAATTTATGCAGGGTTATGGATGAGCAGGGCCGGTTTCAGACGCTGTGATGCGCCCAGGGCTTATATAAAACGATGCGCTCTTTGATAATAATTTCTATCAGTTCGGTTTTATTTTCTTCTGGGAGCCAGGGGCTGTCGATTTTTTAATTTTCCTATTGTACTCAAGTTTTTGGAATATTAATTATAAGAAAATTACGCTGCGGCTTGTCCGAGTCCCCCTTAGTTGTGAGAGTGGTGTGGTGCTTCACTCCCGACATTTTGCCAACTAAAACTGTCCTTTTCTCTAGAATGTGGGAAACCTTGCAATTATGAGTAGGGAGAGCAGATAAATATATAGATAGATTTATGGCGGGATTTTTCAACTGCTCAAATCTTTACTGGACAGAAGCGGCAGCCGTATCAACTAGAAAAATGCAAAAATCAGTTCAGAATTGATCTTCTGGTTCTGGTTGTTTGTTGTAGACTCATTTCAATCAATATTTAAAATAAATAATAAAATAGTATTTTACCCAAAGTACATTGGCCATGGACCTAACAAAAAGCCCGCCCCCCCTCTTTGTCGTGAATGTGGCGCCCCGAAAACTTGGCGCACAGGGCGCAGGTTGTACTCGCCCCTTCTTAAAGCTGGCCCTGTGGATGAGCCGCAGCATACCGTTAGAACTGTTAGATATTGTGATTTCCGGAGTGGGCTCGGGAGTGTGCTGCGTGTGGGAGTATCAGGAGCTGTGTGATGTACAAGCTTCAATCGGAGTTTCAACCAGATTCTGGCGAAATTGATGGCTTTGTCTATGGAAATGATTGTGTGGCTGGGCGGGGGGAGGAGTATCAGGGAAGAAGATGCCCAAGATATGGTGTGGTCTGTGATGGATGTCCATTGGAGATGGATCTACTCCCTTTCTACATTGCGGTTGGGCTGGCAGGAAACCTCATTAGGGGATCAGTTTGCATTTTGAGTGTGGACTTGACTTTCACTCCCATGCCTCTCTCCCTGCCTCTCTCTTTCTTTCACCTTATGTACATACATACATGTACTTTACTGTATATATCTCTCACTTTCTCGCCCCCTACCATCCTTTGCCACTAGTTGGTTTTTCGCTTCTGCATTTTTATCTCTCTCTCTCTGTCGCTCCGCTACGGTCAAAAGTTTTTCCGCATGCCCCCATAAACCCACTACTCGTCCCCGTCCGCACACCTCTTCGGACCCACCTTCCACCTCCAACCGCCCTGTCTCTGAGACGTGTCGTGTGTCATCCAGTAACGGTAATTTACACGGGCCATAACGCGACATTTTGTTGTTGTCGCTTTGTCGCTCTTCTTCTGCCTCTGCCACGACATCTTGTGGATGCGGGCCCAACGTCTGCTGCTTGTGCTTCTGCCTTTTTTTTTTCGTTCCGCCGATTTTTTTGCCGTTTTGGTAATGCACTGAAAAAAAAAAAGTTAAAATACTCGTATTCTTTGACAGAAGTTGATTCCATCCGATGCATTGTTAATGTGAATATTAAACTTTAATTCCATGTAGAACAGCGGTCGGCACGCACACATGCACATGTTTTCAGTGCGTTTGTGGGCGTATACCGCAGGCAAAAGGGAACACTGTATTAGTCCAAACTACTGTAATACTCGTGTAGGTGAGCGCCAGCGCCTTTTTCTAAGCACAATAGATAGTGCCGGGCCGAGTCCTGATTTGGAATAATCTTCCAGCATTAGCATTCATATATGTATATGTATGTACATACATAGAAACTTATCAAAATATGTACATATACATACATACATATGTACATAAGAAGTACATGCCAAAGAAAATGTCAAACTGCGCTGCTCTCTTATTAAACTGCTTTCTATTTGCTTATAATTCCAAAAACAGCTTATTGATTTCTTAATTTCCTCTTTTCCACTTTCAGACTCTCACAACGAGCAGAAGAAAACGGCGAAGAAATCGAAAGCAAGAATACGGTAAGCGCACAAATTTCACCCAAAAAAAAACTCTGCAAAAGTTTCAATTTCGTTTTAAAATGTTGTTTTCGTTGCGGATTTTGATTGATTTATAATTAATCTAAGCCGATTATCGGGATTCTCTCATCACGAGATCTGTCTATCTCCCTCGCTCTCTCGCTTTCGCTCTCTCTCTCCTCTTTCTTTATTTTACTGATTGATTTATGATTTAGCAGCGTTTGGCGCGTGAGGCGCGTTTAAACCATAAAAAGGAATCCCGAAAAGATCATGGGAAAATGCCAAAATTCTGATGTAGCGGGAGATTCGTGGGAGCTTGAGCGGGGGCAGGAGCGGTGGCATGGCCATTAGCAGCAACACGACTTCTGCCCTCCTTCCCCCTTCCATGACTCGAATGGGTTCTAAACTCGCTTTCACCGAATTCATTTTATTTATTGAAATCTCTGCATGTCGTGCACGAATCGGAAAGAAAAGAGATGGAGCGACTGTGGAGTGTGTGTGTGTGGAAGGAGTGCGACCGTGACAGTGTGGAAGAGAAAGAGAGAGGGACATTTTTTCAGAGCATGCAAGCGGAATGTCTGTGGTCATGTGTACGTGCACATATGTATGTACGGGTGTGTATGCATGTGTGTGCCAAAGTCATTGTCGGAAGAGGAAAAAGAGCAAGCAGAAGGGAAGCCGAAGCCTTTGATGCCCTCGAAAATCGATCGTGGCCATGAGAGCAATATAATAATAGGCAAACCACCTACATAAATATGTATGTAGTCTTATAACTATCATCGGAGAGGGTATATCTCATATATACATTCACTCATACATACAGAAATATGTACATATGCAGACAACATTCAAGAGAGAAATAAAATGGGCGGAGGGTGACGGCCATGGTTGTACTTCTACTGATTCTTCTACTGCGTCTGCGGAGTCCACCGGATCTATTTGGCATATTCTATGACAACAAAAACAGCACCGTGTTGCTGTTGCTGATGGTGATGGTGCTGGAGAGGGCCGCATCGTGAGACGAGATCCATTAACACAGAGTGGGCCGGGGGAAGGAGTAACACTCGTAAAATGCTTAAGATACCCACAGAAAACTAGAGAGTAGGCTCTAATGAAGAGAGATTCCATATGCCAGGAGATAATTGTAAGAGACTTGGAGACTTGTTTTTCGTTCGATTGGGACGGACAGCTATACGATAGTTTTGATCGATCCAGCAGCCAACCAGCACTTGCAAATAGCACCAGAACCAGGGTGCAAGCCCAGTCAGAGTCACAGTCACAGTCACAGTTCCAGCTCCCCATCAGAGTCCCCCATGTTGGCATGCTACGATCTCTACTGCTGCTGCTCTCCGATCTCCGCTCCGCTCCCACTTCACGTCGAAGCCCGAACCTGAGTGGCATGTGAATGAGGAGGTCTGGTCTCCCCGCTCACCGCTCACCGCTCCCCACTCCCCACTCCACACTCCACACTCTTGGACTTGAGCGAAATTGGTACACAGGTCTGTGGGCCAGATTGTCTTAGGTCGTGCCAACAGCGATGCGCATAATAAATTTTTTGATTTTTTGCCAAGCCCCAAACAACGGCAGCAGCAACAAACATAAAACGCTGTCCAAAAGAAATGAAAATGAAAAGTTCTCAAGCGACAAATGCGGAGGAAAGGCTTTTCGACAAAGGCCTTTTGACAAGGCACGTAGCCCAGAGAGGCGGTCGGTGGTTGTTGATGGTGATGGTGATGGGGGTGGGGGTGGAGGTGGGATGTGGGATGAGGAAGGGGTACAGTTGGCACTGCACCATGCATAATGAGCATTTTTTGGTTTGGTCGCTCCACATTCGAGTGAAAAACATCATCAAGAGCGAAGACAGCGAAGAAAAGATAGTAATAAATGTCAGGCGGCAATTAAAGACGAAAAAGAAAATGAAATAGTTACGGTGAAAATTTAGGAAAGAGCCGAAGAATGAGAAGAAGATCGGGGCAATGGGCAATGGTTGGACGCCAATCAATAAAGGAGGAGGTGGAGTGAGCGGGGAAAGTAAAAATAATTAACAAAAGAGACAGACGAAGAGCTACAGAAACAAATCTTACATACATATGTATGTACATATGTATGTACATATGTATGTTTGGCAAATTGTTTTTTATCAGTATGAACTTTCCAACAGAAAATTGTGATCAATGATTGAGATTTACATATGTACATACACTCATAGAAAAAAGGCATAGTAAAAATAACCAAAATCATATTTGCATTTAAAATGCGATTTTTAAATACAAATATAGTAAAATTATATAGACTTCACTTTTATTCAAATATAATTGTATTAAAATGGCTTTTTTAATACGGCTATATGTATGTATTTAATCTTAGTACAAAACACTTTAAAATATAATATAATATATTCAATTTGTAGTTTAATATGTTTCATATTTAAATTAAATATTAATATGAATTGATTTCAAAATTATTGTCTTAAAATCAAATGGAAAAACTTTTATTTTAAATATTTTTTATTAAATGAAATTAAACATTTTTAGTATTTATTTGAACTATTTTTATATTATAAAATAAATAGTTTTCCCTTTGATTTAAAATTAGAAAAGCCTTTTTAACAATATTATTTTTGAATCAAAGTGAATTCTACACATTTAATTCAACTATGTTCATATTTAAAAATCACATATTTATTTTAGGAGTACATGCATATACATAAAAATACATAGATACATATGTATGTAGGCATATTTATGGACACATGGCCTATCGATTACAGCTGAAGCCAAACGCTCAAAGGCAATTATGTGCCAGCATCAAATTGAGTTCATTAAGAAGAGTTTTTCTGTCTGTGGCCAGCCCAGGGTGGCAGCTCTCGTCCGTCTAACGCTTAGCATAAATACTCGAAATTCCTTTCTCATAAACGTATGTATGTTCAGAATCATCAGCCAGCCATACAAAAAGCGGAACGAGGCAGAAAGGAAACCAAGCCAACCGAGGCGGGAAGAGGCCAGAAGCCGCAGAAACTCATTTGACCACAAAGAGAGACAGAAGTGACAATTCAGCGGCGATAGAGGATGGGATGTGACGAGTAGGGATGGGGGAGGGGAGAGAAGAAGACGACTCGAGTGGAGTCTGGCGAGGAGGGACATTAGCTGATGCATTTCTCACACTGGAGGGAACTGGTTTGATTTAGCCAACCTCCCAACAGCTTTCCGACACTTCAAGTGCAGCGCTGCTGCAGCTGGAGCTGGAGCTGGATAGAGGGAGGGGAGTGCCAGCTCTGTCCGAGATTGGGCCGCTCCGAACTCCAAGCTGGCCTGCACAGGGGCCAGTGGCCGCTACAGCGCCAGCCAAATGAATATCCGCCTGACCCACATCCAATACCAGCATTTGAACGGATTTGCATGGCTCAGACTGGGGGCTGAAGCTGAAGCTGCAGCGGCAAAGGCAAAGGCACAGGCACAGGCGATTAAAGCTGTTTCTGTTTCTGTTGCTGATTGCTACAGCTAAAGCGGAGGCAGAGGTAGTGGCTGTGGCAGTGGCAGTGGCTGTGGCAGAGGAGGCCGAAGTGGTTGCATCAACAGCTGAATCTTTGACACGGTTGCTCCCAAACCGCCATTGGCGACGTCCGCTTTTCGTGCATGTCCGATGTGTGAGTGTGTGAGTGTGTGAGTGTGTCTGTGCTTGAGTGCCGCCAGAACTTGGCCTACTTCTTGTGACCGCTTTCCACGTGGGCCTCTCCTTTCCTTAAATTGGGATCAGTGACTGGGGAAGCCCGTCAAACAACGCACATTCCCAATATCGAAACTGTCGAAACTGCTCTGCCACACCTGCGCCCAGGCCGGTCAAGTGGGCATCGCCTCATCCCACGAGAGATGGGCAAGAGTTTCACTTCGATTGTTCGATCAATCCCCAAATGGGACAGTCGACTGACCCATCGAAAGTGACTGTCCACTGCTTGGGAATCAAATGAACGCAGTATTTAAACGGGAAAAGGGCTATGGACATGCAAATAGTGGCAGGTAGTGTGGCAGGAATTATGGCAACATAATGCTAGAAATTAAATCAATGTTCAAGGAAGGAGGAACCCTCGCCTTGCTGTGTTGGGATCCCATTAATGTGGCTCCCCCGAATCACCGAATCTCCGAATCACCGAATCACAGGCCAATCAACTTAATAAGCCACACTGTCTGTGATGTCTCTTTCTATTAGGCGCAAACCGAGCTGCAACTAAATCGGCTAATGCGACAGACGTGGGGGCCAGTCCAGACCAGACCAGTGAGGCCTCCATTGTTGGCATTCCAATGCGTTGGAACTTAGCCATTGATGTGGATTTGGATGTGGATGTGGTTGTGGCTGTGGATGGCCCGCTGTTGGGCATGTGGATGCTGATGTGGATGTGGAGGCCCTGCAATTGTGCGTCATTAACATGCAAGCATGTTGTCCCAGGGGAAAGGATGGCTGGCGGATGCGGTGAAGAGTGGGGAGTGAGGAGTGTGGAGTGAATTGAGCAAACAGCATTATCGGATGATCATCTTCAAGTGGCTCGAGGGCCGACTAATGACAGTGCAGCATTCTCTATTGCTTGGCCTATAGCCTGTCCCCATCCCCATCCCCATCTCCATCCCCATCCAATCCTCTCCTGTTCCCGCCTGGTCTGATCATCTATCTAAATACGTGCGTTGCGGGTAATTTGCGTGGGCTGGGGAGAGGATGTAATGTGGTGGAACGACGATGGATGGATGGATGACCTTTTGCCATCTGCCAGTATTAAAATTTTGAGCATTCAAATCGTAGTTAGATATCTCTCGCACTCTTCATCGCTCCCTCTCCCTCTCTCTTTATCTTTATCTTTCTCTGCATCTGTTTCTGTCTCTCTCTGTCTTTCTGGTTGGCTCTCTGACAGTTGGCTTAACCGCTCTTAACCAGGTCAACTAACGGCAAACGTCCGCAAGCTGTTAAAGCCAACTTAAACAAATAGCAAATAGCAAATAGCGAGCCCCCTCCCC